ACGGACTATCGGCAATCTTATCACATCGGTACGCGAACGGCGAGGAACGCCCAATCGCGTTCGCTTCAAAGATCATTCCAAAAAGTGAAAGGCATCGCGCCATTATTGATAAAGAGGCAGGAGCCATAATTTTCGGCTTTAAAAAATTTTACCAATATATCTACGGCAACGAGATAATCTTAAAAACAGATCACGAACCTTTGAAATTTATTTTCGGGTCAAAAAACATTTCAACCATGTTGCATAATCGCCTACAAAGTTGGGCGTATTTCTTGTCCGGTTATTGTTACAAAATTGAAGTAGTAAAATCACGGGCAAATGGAAATTGCGACGCATTATCTAGATTACCGATTGACGATAGCACATTAATTTTTGAAACCGAATATACACACATTAATTTCATAGAAGAAGAGTGTCCTATGTTAGATTTTCAAGCTGTAAAACAAGCACTCAGTCACGATAAACTTTTGAGGAAAATAGTCACATATATTCAAACAGAGTGGCCTGAAGTCTCGAAACTAACCGAAATAGAGAAAAGCTATTACAACAAGCGTCATGAATTGAATTATGAAAACGGTTGCCTATCTCGTGGACACAGAATCGTAATTCCAGAAATTTTGCAAAATCAAATTTTAAAATCGATTTATTCCTCTCACTTAGGAATAGTTAAAATGAAACATATTGCACGTAATTATTTCTGGTGGCCTCATATTGATGTTGACATAGAAAATTTAGCTAACTCTTGTTCTAATTGTCTTGAAGCAAGACCTTATCCTACCAAAACACCATTAACCCCCTGGTTATGGCCTAGTCATCCATGGTCGCGAATACACATGGACTTTGCTAAATTTTATGATTGTATGTTTTTAATTATAGTCGACGCTCATTCCAAATGGCCTATTGTAATTAACATGAAAAACGATACTACTGCGAGAAATCTGATTAAAGAGTTAGATACGATTTTTGCTGATAAGGGCTATCCAAGTCACATAGTTAGCGACAATGGAACGCAATTTACGAGTGATGAATTTGCAGCTTATCTGAAACAATTTCGCATTAAACATACCTTTTCCGCACCATTTTACCCAGCCACCAACGGCGCAGCGGAGAATTTCGTAAAAACTTTCAAAGATAAGGTAAAGAAAATAATGAAAGATGGTCATTCACTAGACTTCTCCGTGAACAGATTCCTAGCAGACTACCGTAACACACCACACTGTTCTACAAATGTACCACCAGCGCAATTAATGTACAAGCGACAACTAAAAACTAGATTTGATCTGATTAACTGCGACACACGTCGAACAGTAGAAGACAATCAATTTATTCAACAACGCTCTACACATGGTAAGAGGCGTATAGAACTCCAAAAAGGTGATATTGTATATGCTAAAGACTATCGTAAAGATACTCCTAATAACGCGCGAGCGATTATAGTTAAACAATTGTCACCGATTATGTACACGTTACAGTTCGCAGACGGTTTCACAACTAAACGCCATGCAAATCAAATTGTAAGTTCAGCGTTAAAGCCAGTTCCAAAAAGAGGGGACTCGGAAGCGCCTATCGTAGATTCTCTTCGCGATATCAACACATGCAACGGGCGAAACAAATCTGCGAAGTGTAACAGCCAAAAGTGTCAAAGTGCAACTACAAGTGTTGGCAAGGATTTAAGTGAAAAAGTGAAGCGAAAAAAAGATACCAGTAATGTGCTTGTTACTCCGAGACGATCGCCTAGATTAGCGAATAAATCGCCCCATACTCAATCTAAAAAGAGGGGAGTTGTAATGTATGCGAAGTATGAGCA